CATGTTTAATCTCTCTTGTATTTTGCGTCCGACCTCTTTATTTTTAATATTTTTATAGTAATTTTTAAAATTATTATATAGTAAATAAAAATAAAAAGATTATAAATCTTTATAATAAGGTGGGTATAAGACCTGCAGTAAAAAAAAATAAAACGGATAATTTTGGCAGAACTTATTTAAATCAAGTTTAAAATATTTTATTCTTTTTAAAAAGTTTATATAGTCAAATTTGGCACTAATACTTTCAGGTTTATTTGGGCCAGCCCAAATACCCAAAATTCTTTAAAATAATTTTTTTTATTTTTTAAATTAATTTTAATTTTTAAGTAATCCTATTAAACATAAATTATTATTTTAAATTTAAAAGAAGAAATAAAAATATGACTTATTAACTTTGTATTTATGTAGCTTTGTTACTATTTTATTATTTTATGTATAATTTATTGATGAATATTTTTTACTTATAAATAAATATTTTAGTTGTTTAAATATTGCTATTATGATCATATATAAATATTTTATATATTTTGATTAAATTATATTATTTTAATTATAATCAAGTTGATTTCAATTTAATCATGATTAGACCACTAATTTAAAATTATTGCCCCAATTGATTTAAATTTTTAATAACTTTTGAGTAAACTATACTTTTTATTTTTAAAAATATAAAAAATAGCTATCATTAGATTATATAAAACAAACATTTGATCGTCCACCACCTATATTCCAAGACGTAGTTAATGATGAAAGCAATTAATTAGGAAACTCATATATGATTTAATCTCTTTTAATTTGTATGATCCTTTCTAATCAAAAAATATTATATAAAACAAAATTATTTAATTATGAGTAAAAGAATATTTTTTTGAATTGTTTTTTCTTTAAATTTTTATGTTGTTTAACCCCTACATAGATGGTGTATTTATTCTAGTTTATTCTTAATTTTTAACCAAGCTTGACGTGAATGATAACCAAATAATTATTTAAAATTATTTTTTATTTATTATATTTATCTAGTAAATTCAAAAATTCATACATGTATGATTTTTTTAAAATTATTTTTAATTTTTTTACTTTAAAATTAATTATCTTATTTTAAAAAAATATAAAATATATTTTTTGGGTAAGAAAATGAAGTATAGGACTCAACATTTTTTTAAAAAATAAGGTCTTAAAATATAAAGATTAATATTAAAATATATTTTAAATATTATTTGTGAGATATTTTATTGATTAAAAATAATAAAAATATGAAAATATAAATATTTTTAAAAAATAACTATAATGATGCACTTAGATACATGGTATTTTAGTATAAAATAACATAAAATTTAAAAAATTAATTAATATTTATTGTATTTTATATTTTTTTAAAATTATTTTTTATTCTTGTATTAGGGCCAAGCTTGACTAGAACAATAAAAAATTATTATTTTTTTGACTTGATTATAAAATTTTTGGATGAGTTTGAGTTAACCCATCGGGTTTGACTTAAATTACTGGCTCTAGAAAAAATAAGTAGTGAATATGAAATTAATGCTAAAATATATTCTTTTTAAATCATAATATATGAGATCTTCTAAAAGCCTTACTTAATTCATAATGTAGGGCATTGAGTAATTTTTATAATTATATAAATAAGTGTGGTTTAAAATTTGTAAATAATTTTATTCACTTATCTCCTTTGTATTTTATCTATATTAAAAAGTTTAATAAAAAAAGTCATTTTTAGTTCTCTATTCTTTTATATTGCAACTGAAAGTTAATACCCATATATCGATTTAAAATCTAATTAAATGTAATATATGCGTCGGCGCATCGGTGGAAGAGGATGCACGAATTGTTGAATTCAAACAAACATGCTACGTGATGCATGAAGGGCCGACCGTGTTTCATGTTCACACCTTTGAACGCCACAAACTTTGTTCAGTAACGCAAGAGATTGGCATTTCAAACAGACGAATTTCATTTGATACTAAATTCCTTCGACTGAATATATCTTTTATTATTAAAATTATAGTTTGAACATTAATTTTTGAAATTGGAATTATATATATATATATATATATATTTGTCTGACGAAAGATACTTGATTTAGAAGCTTAATTCCAATACAAGAATTCAACCCTTAAAGTTTTCAATGGCATTTTTCCGTGCTTAATTAAAAAAGATATACTCCTCCATTCAAAATACCCTTAATTAAAAGATATAATTAATAATATTTTATAATTAAGACATGTTATTAAGTAATTATGTGTAAACATAAAAATAGCGTGTAATATTAAAAATAATTAATTAATTTATTGAAAATGTAATTTGAATAAATGCATTTTAATATTGAATGAAAAGAGTATTTTTCAATATGGGATGGTAACTCAAGGATCAAAAGTCAAAACTTTTATTGAAAACATTATATATATATATATATATATATTAAATTTAAGGGTTGAGCGCCGTTGAGGTGATGGATCTCCTTAATTGAGATTTGGGAGGCTTTATAGATTATACATTTAGCAATTAATCTGAAATATTTTTAATTTTGATTTTAAAAAGGTTTTTCAAAACAAGAAGTCAATAAGGTTAACATCTAATTAAATCAAATACAAATAACTAAAATCGTTCAACGAAATAATTAATTGGCTAATTAAGACCAGTTTGCGTATGAAGCATCAAATTGTCAAAACAGGTAGTTTTAAAGAATTACTCTCTCCGTTATTAAATATAAGAGAAAATGACCAACTCATATAGTTTAAAAAAATTAGCTAAACGTACATATAGTTTAAGAAAATTAGTTAAGTGTAATAATTAGGTCTGAAAATTTAAAAACTGGACTAAATTATCCTTGCAATTAATAAAACAAATTTGTTTAATGAAAATAAATATTCCTTCCATACTAAATTATTATGGCACTTTTGAAAAAGTTTTTACATCTCAGGATATAAGACACTTTGAGTAAATTATAGTTTTATTAAATATATCAGTATTACCCTTTTTCTCTCTATAATTACTTTCTATCACTTCTCTTTTTAATATATTAAATAATAGGTATTTTTAAAAGTTTATATTTTTGTCTTTGAAAATAAGATAGTAAAGTGTATTTAATAAGGTTTATTGATATGTAAAATTTTAACTAAAAGTGTCTTATAATTTAACATAGAGAGAGCATTTACTTTATGAGAGATAATATTGAAGAAATGTGATAAATGTTTGTTAAAACTTATAATTTTACTTATAAATAAAAATATAGAGAAACATGGTAGTTTCTCTTATATTCAAAAATGGAGTAGCACATCGTACAATGCCTTTATGAAAATAAAATAAAGATGCTTTTTTACGTCCTGAATTAGAAGACATTTTTTGCAAAGATTTGTTACTTTAAAATATAAAAAATTGATAAAAATAATATTTTATTAAATATAGTTTTTCAAAATTACCTTCCCTCCTTACTATTCTCTTTCTCTTATCATTTAAGGCTATTTGAAAAATTTATATTTATATTTTAAAAATTTTAATTGTAAATATATATTTAATGAATTTTATTGTTATACATAATCTTATTTAGATTTATCTTCTAAATCGAGACAAAGGGAGTAACTTTGTTTCATTAACTCCAAATCAATGTACCAAATTTTTTCTACATATAGAAAAAGAAAACGTATCTTTTTTTTTTTGGTTGAAATAATGAAGTTTCAAATGGTGATAATAAACAAATAAATAAATAAATTTTTTGCCAACAATAAATAAATAATTTTGCATAAACTACCTTTCTGTCTCTTATGATAATATATCCTTGCTATGACAAAATGGTGAAAATATGGATGGGTTGACGTGGTTGTAATAGTCTGTATGAAAAAGATAATTAATTACCTATATATATATATATTTTAAAGTAATTAATATCTAAGTATGATTAGATGAAGCGATGCCGCGAGGCCAGAGAACGATGGCCAGTTGAACCGGTTCAACCACTAGCCAGTAGTCAAGGTAGTAAGGACCGGAATTCTCTAATAACTGAACCAGAAGAAAATGGAAATAGAATTATAGATGGAGAAGGTCATACACTAGTGAACCATGATGAAAATAAATTGCAGCAGTCGCGAAATCTTAACAAAAATACTTGAGATTAAAAAAAAGAGCAAAAAAAAAAAAAAACATACATTGAGGATTACGTACGGTGCCGCAGCTTGCATGAGCATTAGGCAACGCCCACGGTTTCAAAGCGAAGAAGCCACATTCCTTTCCCTGTACCTCTCATTCACGTATTCAACGACGTGGGAATTACAAGCTTCCTCACTTACAACACCTTAGTGAAGCCTGACATCATGACTTGCAGAATCGAACCCATGACTTGAAAATTAAAGTGAAGCCTAATATCATGATCTATAGGACCAAGCCTGAAAGCTTGATTTGCTTTTTTCTTTGCAAAATTCAAATTAATTTTCAAATGTTCGGTATGAAGTCCAAATTTCACATATAAAGTAAAAAAGAATACAAACATTCTTTAATTTGATCATTTAAATTTAAATTATTATCATCTTAATGTAGAAAATTTAAGAGAATATAATTACATAAAATAAATAAATTTATATTTATTAAAGAACATCAAACTTACTTATGCTATGAACTTTAATAATATTTTCTTTAAACAATTTATTGCCGACCTGATCCCTCCAGGACTAAGTCCTAACATGGGTGAGGCCTAAAAGCCCTTTATATCATTTTTGAGCTAATTATTGAATCCTAACTTTTACCAAAATATTGGATGAAGGGGCATTTGTACTGTCAACTCCATCGTATTGGATGATCCGGTTCTTGCAACATTGATAGGTGGCAGGAGCAGCAGGGAAAATGACAAATATAACCGAAAGGGATGGAAAATGAGTAAATACCAATTTTCAATATATATCTCACTCGCTCCCATATTTCAACGCCTCTCGTCATTCATTGCTTCTCGTCTTTGTCTATATATACTGCATTATCATCCTATCATTTTTCCCTCAAACTCTCATTAATTAACATCAAAAGTCACCTGCCTCAGCTCCATCCCTCTCATGGCTTCTCTCTCGAACGGCCACGACCCAAACCCAGATCCTGCGTCCATCAAGATCAAGTTCACGCAGCTCTTCATCAACGGGCAATTTGTTGAGTCTGTTTCAGGTTTGTTACACTCTTTCCCCGGTTTTCGTTCATCCCTCTAAATTTATTCCTGACTCACACTGATCTCAAGCACGACCACCACCGTAGCTGTTACTGGTCTCAAGATTTGTGGGTGATGATGATGAAACAGGGAAGACGTTCGAGACGATTGATCCGAGAACGGGGGATGTGATTGCAAGGATCGCCCAGGGCAACAACGATGATGTTGATGTCGCCGTTCAAGCTGCCCGTCACGCCTTTGACTCTGGTCCCTGGCCTCGCATGTCCGGCTCTGTATGTTTCTCTCCCTCTACCGTCTACGCTACTCCTCCTCCTCCTCCTCCTTTTTATTCCGTTAATATATATGTTTTTTTTAATAAGAACAACAACGTCATAAGTTTATTAAATTCTTCAATTAAATTCTACATTTATTATGTTCCACAAATACGTCCTTCGTTCATAATATAAGGCATATTTATACTCTAAACTATAAGGCATTTTGTGAAGTAGTAATAAATAACTTTTTATCCAAAATACCTTTACTAATATGTCAAAATTACTTATCTGCTACTTCTTAAAATATAATTAATAACGGATGAATTAATAAAAGTAACGTTGAGAAAGATTTCTTAACTACCTAGCTGTTTCTTTCTTCTTAGTTAGTTCATATGTTTTAGTTAAAAATGAATTATATAAAAACCATAGGAATATAACCCTAATATTTATAATTACAGCTGTTAGATTCTCTCCCTTAGTGTGTGTGTGTGTGTGTGTGTTTTTATACTACTTCTCTGCATTGGTACATCGTTTTTATTTTTTATTTTTTCCGAGAAAACATGTGATGGACTCTCCGTTCTTCGAAATAAGTTCACTGGTATTTTTACTAAGTCAATAGTCAAAATCTGGAGGCACTTCTCAACTTTTCTGGTAAATAAATAAAAAGAAAGTTAATTCTAGCCCCCCCATACAATTTTTTGTAATTTGGAATTTGGAATTTGGCCGCCCACATGCATCCTAATCCGTTGCCGTCAACCGTCTAAGTTTCAAACTCTTCATTTTGATTTTCCAAATAATAATAATAAAAGCTAAAATAAAAATAAGTCTAGACGGTTGACGTATAATATAGACAGCCATGAAATCCATTTTTTGCATAGTAAACGGAGGCGATGTATTATTGTTGATCCTGACGCAGAGGGGGCGGTAAAGCCGATTTATAAAGCAGGAAATTGGTTGATTAAAAGAATAATTAAAATTAATGTTTAATGGGACGCGCCAACTTGAGATAGAAAAGCAACAGCTCAGACTCAGCAATCAAGACATATAAAACACCGCCCTGCGTCATTGCTCGCAAGTAGCCAAGTAGGACACTAGAAATGGAACGAATTCATGGAGTCAACTTACATTTATTAGTAAACATCCATACTTTTGTATTTCTCTTGGAGCGTTCCGACTCGCGTGATTGCATGTGTTGTCGTTGATTTTTATGTTTTACAAGATCAATCCGGCTACGTTCTGGCTTCTTATTATGTTTGAATAATTCAACGCTTTACACACATTTACTGATATACTCGTTATCACCAAGAAATATTACAAAAAAAATTTCAGTCACATCATGAGTCCTTGTCATCCTAGCATTGTCAGGAAAAAATATAAGTTTTAGATAAGTTTAAATTTAGACTTGAGGTTTTTTAAATGTTAACTTTTGTTGTTTTAAGAAATAGAACATGTATGGATATTTTTTGAATTTCTCGATCCTGATTCCCATATTAATTAGGAACATAAACCCTTGAGCCCAGATACATCCAAGCCTAAATATTATCGGCTCAACACGTCAGAAGAGATCTTAACGCAATTTTGTTTGGGCACTATTACCCAAAAAAAAAATTTGAGCATCCCCGTGGTGTGTGCACACCCACGCACATCTTGACTCTAAAACCCAGTCAAGGCAAACCTCTATTTGTTCTTTAAAAAATTATTGAAATTCAGCTATTGAATGTCTGTTATATGAACGGTGCACATGTATCAAACAACGAAGGCATTCTTTATAAGAACACATGATGTGAGTGCGTTCTAAGAAAATCAAATAAAAGATGTCGATGGGTTATGTTGTCTTTGTTGCTGTTACGTACTTAAAAGTAAATCGTGTGTGCAATGGTGCTGGAATATTCAGGAGAGAGGAAGAATATTGATGAAATGGGCAGATTTGATAGAACAACATGTTGAAGAACTGGCAGCAATAGATGCCATGGACGCGGGAAAGCTGTACCAGTGGTGTAAGATGGAGATCCCTTCAGTGGTGAATATACTGCGTTACTATGCTGGTGCTGCTGATAAAATCCATGGAGAGGTTTTGAAGATGTCAGGCAATTTCCAGGCTTACACTCTGCTCGAACCCATTGGTGTGGTGGGCCACATCATTCCCTGGAACTTCCCCAGTACCATGTTCTTCATCAAGGTTAGCCCTTCTTTGGCCGCCGGCTGCACCATGGTCGTCAAACCCGCCGAGCAAACTCCTCTCTCTGCTCTCTTCTACGCTCATCTTGCTAAGCTGGTATTTTCCCATCGCAAACCGTATTACCTTCCCTCTTCTCTGAGCTTGTCTTGTGTATATGATCAACGCATTCATACTGTTCTGGTAAGATGGTTTGTTTTGATGACAGGCTGGAATACCGGATGGTGTGCTTAATGTAGTACCTGGCTTTGGGCCCGTTGCTGGTGCTGCTATAAGCTCTCACATGGACATTGATAAGGTAACTGGCATTTCAAGTATTTGGGAGTATTTTAAAAGATCAATTCAGATTGAGGACTGAAGAGGGCTTACAACTGAACTTGCTTTTGTTGGTGTTTTTGTTCTAGGTTAGCTTTACTGGTTCCACACAAACAGGACGGGTAGTGATGCAGGCCGCCGCTAAGAGTAATTTGAAACAAGTTTCGCTTGAACTAGGAGGCAAATCGCCCCTCATTATATTTGATGATGCCGATGTGGACAAAGCTGCAGAGCTTGCACTCATAGGAATCCTTTTTAACAAGGTCAAATTGCCTTCCAGATTCATCATATTCCTTCAATAAGTGGTAATTATAGCTGCAAGCTAAGTGACCCTACCGTATATCTTGGGTTGTGGTTTCTGCAGGGAGAAGTCTGCGCTGCAGGCTCTCGTGTGTTTGTACAAGAGGGGATATATGAGGAATTCGAGAAGAAGTTGGTGGAGAAGGCAAAAGCTTGGGTGGTTGGAGACCCTTTTGATCCTCAAGCTCAGCAGGGTCCTCAGGTAATTAAGCTAGTTCATTCATAAATATGTAAATACAGTATCTGTATAGATACGAAACACACACACACATGGAGTGATTATCCTCCTATACAAATACAGGCTTGTTGACAGGGATTTTTTATGAAACTACTGTATAGGTTGACAAGAGGCAATTTGAGAAGATTTTATCATACATAGAGCAAGGAAAGAGAGAAGGAGCCACCCTATTGACTGGGGGTAAAGTGGCGGGCAACAAGGGATACTACATTGAACCTACGGTGTTCACTAATGTTAAGGTACGTTCCCAAGTACTCGGCCTTATAAGAGCTTCAAATCAGGTATGAGATGTTAAGCAGAGTGACTCAAATTTTCATCCCATATATAGGAGGACATGGTTATAGCACAGGATGAAATATTTGGACCTGTGATGGCACTTATGAAGTTCAAGTAAGTTATAACGTACCTATCGCTATATTTTTATGGTGTTAATTAGTTGTATAAAAATGATGAACATTGAAATGTGGACTATACACACATAACAGAACGATAGAGGAAGCCATCAAGAGTGCGAACAATACAAAATATGGGCTGGCAGCAGGCATAGTGACGAAGAACATAGATATAGCAAATACAGTGTCAAGAACCATCAGGGCAGGAATCATATGGATCAACTGCTACTTTGCGTTTGAGAATGATGTTCCTTTTGGAGGGTACAAGATGAGCGGATTTGGGAAGGATTTTGGGTTGGAAGCACTTCACAAGTACCTGCAAGTTAAATCAGTGATCACTCCTATTTACAACTCTCCATGGCTCTAAGTGCCAGTATGTATCTTATAGGCTAGTACCCTGTAATGTGCCCTTCTCTAATGTTCCTTGTAATGTCTCAACGTCTCAATTTCGTTTTTTATTTATATTTAAATCATTAACTTTTACATAAAATAAGAGACATTTGGATATCTTAATATCCCAAAATGGTAAAGATTTGTATTTTCTATGATTTTTTAAAAATAAAAGGTTATATTTGTGATATTTTTCTTTAAAAATCATAAAAAATATAAATCTTCACCATTTTGAGACATCAAGATATCCAAATGTCTCTTATTTTATGTAAAAGCCAATGATTAGAAAAAATGAAAAACAAAATTGAAACATTAGGACATTACAAGGGACATTAAAAAAGGGTACATTAAAGACCTTTAGCCCATATCTTATGGGGCTTTTCATTTACGAGGGTTCATAGAGTTTCATGAATAACTCAGCATCCTGTTGCGCCTTGTAAATGAAAATTTCTATGTGCGTCTTTGTGTTCCTAATAAGAAAGCCATGATGATTATATCATATGTATGGTTGATTCTTTTAATTTACAAAACACTTGAATATGTCTTTAACCCAAAAAGAAAGAAAGAAAGAAAAACCACTTCAACAATATATCAGCACGCAGATGAATGAAACTATTATATTTTTACTGTATCCAATTTTTTTTATTCAATTTATATTTACAACAGTGTTCAAATTTTTATTTTTATATAAAAAGATCTAAGTCTTCACCTTCATGGCTTTGCATCGTCAAAATCAATTAAAGATCTTGATATTAATGATAATTAAAAACCTCAAAAAATTGAAGTATCATAAAAGCACCATGGTCTTCAATTGCAATTAAAATATTTCTATTTCTAATTATTAAAATAATCAATAAAAGGTCACTCATAAATTTTAAAAAAATTTGGTATTGGTGAATTTGAGAAAAATTACTAGTGAATAGATAATCAATTATAAATTAATAGATAGTTTTATGAATAAATATACATTACTTGTGAATTTAAGGAAAATCACTTGTAAATTTTTAAAAAAAGTACTTGTAAATATATGGAAAGCTAGTTGTAAATGGATATTCAAAAAACAATAGAGGGTTTCTAAATCATTAATTTACAATTAAAACTAAGGTTGTGAAACTCATGAGTTTAAGTAAACTCGTGAGAAAAATGTAAATTCGTATCACAAACTTGGATCGTAAATTCGTAAGAGTTTACCTCTATTAATAAATAACAATTAAAATATGCTTGTAATTTAATTTAAATATATTCAAATATAAATTATTGAAATTAAACTCATCTACATTGATAAATTATTATATATATAACATAAAAGTTTTAAAATAGGGGAACCTATTTTTGATATTTTTGTTTTCTTTTTTTATTAATATTAGTTTTTACATTTCAAGGGTTTTTTTTCCTTTGAACCAGGTTTTATAAATTTTATAAACTAAATTCTTTATAGTATATAGTTAACTCGCTCAACTAAAAAAAATTGATGGGATTAACAAGTGTAACTAAACTTACATCTAGTCTAAATTTATAAATTAGTTGACATGATTTTATAAGTTAAAAATATAAAAACGATAAACTCGAAGGTAAACTCACGAGTTTAATTGAGTTTATATTTAGTTTGAGTTTATGAGTAAGTTGACACAATTTTGTAAGTTGAAAATGTAAAAATGTTAAATTTGTAAAGTCAACTCAAAAGTCTAATAACTATAATTAAGACTATTTATAAAACTAATGTTCTATATATTCACAAAAACATTATATTTCTTAAATTCACAACTAATTATTCTTAAATCACAATTTGCATAAATTTATGACACTATCTATTCATTTATAACTAAAATTTTATAAATTCACTATTGACTATCTTTGAATTTATAAATGACAATAGTACATAAATTTATAAAACCATTTATCCATTCACTGTTCACTATCCATTAATTTACAAATAATGTTACTTAAATTCACAACTAACTTCATTTAAATTTATAAGCCGCATTCAATTAGTTATTTTAATAATTATTTATTTTTAATTATAAATAAAGACTATAGTCTTGCCATGACATTTCAATAATTTGATATATTCAAATGTCATTAATGTTTTTATAAGATTCCTAATTATCATTTTTCCAAAATCTTTAAGATAATCAACTTTCATGATTTTCATCATCTTGAATAATTTTTTAAATATTGATTGAATTACGTAAATAAAATAAAAGCTCTGACTTAAAATTTAATTTCTTATTTTTTTGCCAACAATTAAATATCTAATATATATGTACATTTCTAGGTGATCTAGCTAGGAGATTGAAAATAAAATAGAATTAACTTGATGTAAAATGGGAAACATTATTAGTCAGAATAAAAGTACAATATAGGAATATATATATATATATATATATAAAGGTACAATAAGATAGAGAAAAATGATTAAGGGGCGATTAAGGATGGTGCTAAATTCAACATGGATTAATTGGAAAAAAAAATGGAAGTTAGGCATTATTGATATATATTGAGCCTTTTAAATCAATTTATTCTCTTGATGGGTAAACTATCTAGATCATTAGTCAAAGTCACGGCCCTTGATAGAGGTGGCTGTTAATCTTCCATATATTAATGGGAGGAGGGACCAAGCCCGATCAAAAACCATTGAATTCATTTAAATATTAATATGCACGAAGGCCTTTCTTTCCCTTTTATTTCAAGTTACCCACTCAGATTCAAAACTGAGGAGTGAATTTCCCAGAGTTGAATTGATTGTACGCGGAGTTGGATTTTCTAACATTGTTTAAGTAAATAAAACTTATTTATTTTACCAAGTAGGTGTGACTTATATGATAGCAGTTTGAATCCTTCAAACATATCAATTCAAAATTTGACTCTCCGAGGTGTGCATTTGGATTGCAACATACGATTGTATATTTTGATAAGTTATTATGAATAATTTACCTATTGATTAAAGGGCACTTCCTCCATCCATATATATAAGGTGTTTTTTAACGAATTCATGCATGCATACTAATAAAAGTTTGTTATTAGTTTAAATTCTATTAAAGCATAGTAATTTTTCAATTTTGACCCTAATAATGTCAATTAATATCATGATGGTTGTAGATAAAGCACACAATTAATATCTTTTCTCTTTTACGAAAACAAGAAAAAAAATTATTTAATTACTCAAAAGTATTTTAACACCTCTTATATTTAAAGATAAAATAAGTTTTTGAAAAATGCCCTATATATAGAGATGGAGTGAGTATTTTTTTTTTTTTCTATAGAGCATTCTGGTGATGAGAAAAAAGATATCATTTAACTCAAGTTTTCTTAAAGATTTTATATTAATCACTGATAATTATTATTTGACCACTTTATTAAATATGAATATAGTTGTTGGTTTCACTATTGTAAGAAGGACTTCTAACAATAATTATTTTAAGTTTTTTATTTTAGTTATTAAAAGAAAATTTAAAAAAGGGAGAGAGAGAGAGAAGTGAAAAATTGCCTTTCCATTTAATTGGTGTGGAAAAGACTTTTCACATTGATTATTTGTATAACCAACGTGAAAAGTGTATTGATGATGAAATACATATAATTGGGTACTCTATGAAGACGAGAGGAAAATACATATGCAAAACTAACCTAAAAAGCTGAGCTTGTACAAAAAAAGTAGCTTAGGTTGGGTGATGCAAGGTTTGAATTTGTATTTTGAGCTGAACAAATCTTGTATAAGTTTAGTAGAGTGTCAAGAGTCCTTCAATTATATACTTATTGTCTATTTATTAAAAAAATGACAACAATGTATTCTTTTTGAAATCAAGTTTGGTGCCACTAGGAGTGGATAAGATAACCATTCGCGCTTTGAATTTTCCATGGGTGCACCCTGTCGTGGAGTGTAAGTGCACCTAGAAACCCAGGAGGTGGGAAAAGTGGGTGTGACTTTCTAAATACGCCGTTCCACTTTTGTGCATGGAATCGGATCGCTATTGGTCGCATATAATTCTTAGCTAAACTACTTATTGAATTATCCTTCTCGGCCTAATGCACTAGTTTCGGTTCAAACAAATTAATGTAAAATATACTCACTTTCCCTCTATTTTGATAAAATTGCAAAGATCTCCCGGAACTATTTTCAAAACATAAACTTTAGTTCAATTTTTAATATCATTAGAAATATTTTGTTAAATATTTTAAAATACTTAGTTTTTATTTTTAACTATATTAAAAATTTAAAATTATTAATTTTTCCTTATAATCTAATTGTCTACTCTCTCTAACTAAAGAAACTTCAAATAATTAAGTATGAAAATATTTAGGTAAATAATTTTAAAACATTAGGTTAAAATTCATAAAATTTAGATAAAAATAAACATAAAATTTAATGAATAATTTACGTCTCATTATATTAAATCCCTATTTTATTAATTTTTTGTATATATATTTTAAATATTGTTTTAGACAATTTATGTATTTAAATTTTCAAAATATTTACTAAATAAATATGTTTGTAAAATTAAAATATTTAAAATATTAAAACACATTAAAACAAAGAAAAATTAACAATTGGATGGATAGGAATTAAATATCAAAACTAGAAAGAATGTTTTTGTTTTGTGATTATTAATTCTAAAATAAATTTGTATAAGTTTTAAAAATAGAACAAAAGTGCCTGAAATTAAGGCAAAGTAGAGTGAATGTCAACATTTTGCTGTTGATAGAATTTTTTTTTTTATGAAAATTTTTTGAATTAGTAATACATTAATTATAAAAAGACGAGGGAATCAAGCATTGGAAACACATGATAATGTAATTAATTTCAACCATATTTTCTTGTGGTGTGGTGCAGTATCTTCTACAATCTCGACACGTTTGTTTGTATTTCCATGTCCTATTGTTTTTGGCATATGGAAGAACAAATTGACTTAATGAGTCCAAGAGGAAAAGGACAGTTTTTAGGCCAATGAAAAGGACATTTAGAAAACAGTTTCTTCAACTTAATTCGACCCATCTTGCATTTATTTATTTAAATTTTCATATTTTACATATGACTATATATATACATATATGGAAGAATGACATTAAATAATCAAAAAGTTAAATTAAGCTCAAATAAAAATTAATTGGCTTTTAGTGAATTGGTTTGAAAATTTTCTACTTTCCTTCCATAATTTATAAGTGAAATTTATTAATTTTTAAAGAAAAAACTTGCAGTGAAACATATCATCACTTTCTGTCCTTATTTTGTAATCCTAAAAAGTAAAAACACTAGTTTGCAAATAAAAGAATAAAAGTCTTATTATGTTTATATTAAACTTCATGAAAGTAGTTATTAAATTATGGATCAAAACAACAATTTTTTGTTCTCTCCCGTAACACATAGAATCCTTCAAATTTTTTAATGGGACAAAATAAAGTCTGAGAAGCTTTGAGAGGACTGCCACATCTAATATTTAATGGCTAAGTTTTAAGAGAAAAAATATAAAGAGAATTACATTTTCGCATAAAAAAATTAAGTAC